TGCAAGCATTACCTTTCGGATAAAAAAAGAATTATCCAAATCGGTCCACTAGCGGCGGAGTTATGCCGTAACACACATTAAAAAAAAAAAATATATACCGACGAATTGAATACCTCCTTCTTTTGGGAAGTCGGTCAAAAAGATCGAAAGTCTGTAGAAACAATGTTAAAAGGTAAAAGAAACATCGCGCCATAACTTACTTAATAATTAAGTAACGCTAATGTCCCGTGACGTCATAGAATTATGAGCACAGTTCCGAACTCCTTACTCCCACGGGACGAGGGGACCCCATACCGAGTAGACTGGCTGAATAAATAAGATTTACAAGATTTTTTGCAACATTTTAAAACATAATTACCTCCTTGGTATAGATTTTTTAACAATCATTTTGTCTATATCATTGTTTCTTTCCGTTTTAAAATTAAGTTTATAGTTACACGAATTTAAAAAGTATACAATAGAATTAAATATAGAAAGAGGAGAAATTTTCTAATATTTAAAAACAAAACTTTACAAAGTTGAATAAAATCCTATTAAAAAGTTACAGTAGGTTATCTAAATTGATTCAATACCTTTTACCTCCACATTCCTATTTGCTAAATTGTCGGAAAGGATAAAAGCATTTGATGTTCCGACGTAACTGGTTTATCAAACCGGTCAGGTCGGACTAGTTCTGAACCTGGTGAAGGCTACAATTTCGGGACTCAACTCCGGATTGAAAACTTAATAAAACTATTTATTGTGTTTTAAAATAAGAACAGAAAACTTAGGACCGCTTTAGATTATAGCTGTTGCTCGCGACTTTGTCCGCGTGTAAATAAATATAGCCATTTTATACTTATCCTATATTTTATTTTACATTTCATTTACCAGTTATAATTTTAATAATGTCCATAATTTTAATATTGTACCTGTAGTCTTAGTAATATTTATTTTAATCTTAATGTATCTTAGCTTGTGTATTTTAAAAAATCTGTAAAAATAAAATGTATGAGATAAAAATGTAATGATGCAGATAAATTATGTGAAGCATAATAAAGGCTCTGGCTTCCATGCTAGAGGAATTGTAAAAAAAAAAAAATAGCCATGTTACTCACTGATAACGTAACTAATGGTGTCAGAATTTTTTAAATCGGCTCAGTAGTTTTTGAGTTATTTCAAAACATATAAAAGTACAGATTTTTTTGAACTTTATAATCTTACTTCTTACGTATATTATAAATGCGAAAGTTTAGATAGATGGACGTTTGTTAGAGTTTGTAGCCTAAACTACTGAACGGATTTCAAAAAATTGGGCACAGATGTAGAGCATAGACTGGAAGAACACTTAGGTTACTCACTATTGTTTTTTTAATTCCACGCGAACGGAGTCATGGGCGTAAGCTAGTATTATAGATTGTAACTAAGATCTGTAAACACGGACCGTTATGCAGTCTATAGACAAGTTACATCTGTCAGTGTTGCCCTGCAGTTTTATACAAAATAACCCTTACTGGTGCTGCAGACGACATATGACGGCTTAAAACTGCTAGTATCCAGCAGTAAGTTATTTTTTATAAAGGGGAACACCGAGATGATTAAGGTTGTTAGTTGGACATCAATATGGCACCTTAATCTGAATTGACCCAAATATATTAAAGTGAAATCGATTTTATCTAATCGACAAAAATCGATACATACAATACCTTCTCTAGTTATGTTTGAACACACATTCGTGTCTTTTGAAGTTACCGCCATATCGCATGGGCGGTGTCGATAGATATCGTTTGATTTATTTGTTTTGAACATTTTACACTGATTTATTGTCCCGTCGCGCTTTTAACAAAGACAATGCAATTTAAATGTTTTTGTTAAATAAGACTTAATGCTTATGTTACAAAGTTCGTTTTCCTTTGCGACAAAATGTATAGTAGAAACATAATTACAAACAAAATAAATGTTTGATAACAGCTATGTTTGTATAATTTGCTCTTACTATCATTTTCTCTCTCATATCAAAGAATGAGAGGTGTAAATTACGTGTAAAGCTAACGTAATTTCGCGTTGAAAGACAAAAGGTCGCCGCCGGTCAAAAACGAGGCGACGTCGAACCTACGCCGAAGGTTAATCGGAGCGTTAACTTTAACGGAATACCGATTTAACCTTTAGACTTATTAACTGTAGAATCTACTTTGCACATTGCACTATAGATATATGGTCATTTATTTGAACGGATATCGATGAAATTTGGCATAGATTTAGACGATAGTCTGGGAGAACACATGGCTATTTAGTTTTGTTTTTATTTTATTCCACGCGGACAGAATCGCGGGCGAAAGCTAGCATGTGAAAAAGTATAAACTGTAGTATATCTACTTTGCACATTGCACTGATGTATGGTTGTTTGTTAGAGTTTGTGGTCTAAACTACTAAATGGATCTCGATGAAATTTGGCATAGGTGTAGAGGATAGTCTGGAAAATCAGAGGCTACTTAGTTTTAGGCACGCGGACAGAATCGCGGGCGAAAGCTAGTATATGAAAAAGTATTTACAAAATGAAATGAATTATTGTTTAAAGCGTCGTCTGTTTTATTCGACTTTTATCTCTTAGTTTTTTTTAATGAAAATACGTAATGTCTTTCGCGCCAGTAATTATGAAGTATTGTACAAGTCTGCATGCAGATATGTGACAAGCAGACTTGAAAAAATTAAAAATACATCCCCCCGATGTTAATTTAGACGTATACAATTTACGCTGGCTTACGCATTAATACCGACTATACGCTCTAGCATAGTGTTTTCGATTCCAACACTTGCAAATAGGTATGATACCAGCAAATATTGAAAACCGCCTGTTTGTAACTTGCCTATTATTGCACATCGATGGGATCAATTTACAAATATTTTCTTTTCGACAACTTGTAAAGGTGACGTTACATTGGCTGTCATTTTTGTGTATCATCACTACTTAATTTTAAAAATGGATAATAATTTTGTGCATATATGATTACTGATTGTTAACGGTGGTCAGGAATTGAACTAATAATAGAGATAGACTTAACTGACAGTGTCATCAAAAAGAACGTTTAATTTGAAAAAAAAAGCTGTCTATTCCAAGCAATAGACTATCCATTTATACTGATCAATAGTCATCGCGGACAGGCGGGACTCAAGATTATGACCAGTAGAAATTATAAAAAACAAGTCACTTTAAAAAAACACGTTTGATATATAATTTCATAAGTTTTCTATTTGTCAGGACAAATTACAAACGCCCGACGTGCACGGTTTGTCTGTAACATATAGATACATGTAAATTTATCTACATCCTTCTGAATGCTCTTGCAATTTTTTTTTAAATTGCAACTGACACACGCGAGATGATTTCGCGCGTCTATGCAAATACAGTCGCATATAAAAGCGTTGGAGATATGAATTTATCCGGCTTTGACTTTTAAAAGACAGGATCTGTCAAGTGCGTTTTCCCCTCTATCGGATAAAAGCAAACAATAAAATCTCAACTTGCTTTGCAGATGTGTAAATTTTTGAGTCAGTAAGCGTTTAGAGATATAAGAGTCATCTCACATGGGTACACGTGACATCCACAAAACCTTCATATTTCATAAAACTATCATCCATTTTACATGAGCTCGTCGCACAGTGGCCGTCAGAAATCGTCGTTACTCGCTTTATGTGGTGTACAACGGCGGCTCTTTGCCTAGTCCATTTCTTTATATCCAAAGCAACCCGGGTTTCCACCATATTGGCGGCGGAAACGGAAATCATTGTTTGGGCGGGCGTTTGCGGGGCTTTTGTGATTTTTTTTCGTCTTTCAATGCGTAGACATGAATATGTAGAGGTTTCGATGAGAGCCGATCATGCGAAGTGAGGTTTGTTTAGAATAGGAATGATTTTGAGAAGTAAAAGTTACGGAAGAACACTGAAACTACATTTAAATGTAATTCTGTAGTGCAAAAAGTGTCTGCAAAGAAATGTATATTCTTTGCTTAGCGCGAATGTAACATAGAGCACGTACTGATCGGATCGATGTGTTTACTGCACGCACGAAGAGTATCGAATTGCCTTTTAAACTAAATTCTTTTACGGAATTCTCAAGGGTTGTGTATTTAAGGAGGGTTTTCACTAAATACTTTTTATTGTATTGATGTAACATAGTTATCCTATTGTTATCCTAGCTGTTCCCGTGCGGCTTCATCTGTATGCAATTTTAAAAACTTTATTTTATTGTTTACATTTGTCAAATTCGCAATTGTTAATATCAAAATTACCATTGCCATAATAACCTTGCTTCCTTAATGTTGGCAGCTATTAGTTTATTGTCCCCTTCTCACGTTTTTTCCAATTTATTGACCCCCTAAGTTTAATAGCGTGAAAACATATAGTCTAAACCGTGACGTAAGTATAGGGCTCGAATTATTCAAAAATATGCTGTGATTGCTGAAATCCTACGCCACGAAGTAGTGTGTGTTTACGCTTTATTATATTAGTATAGATTCAGACATTGTTAATATGCAATATTGATAGTATATTTCTTAAACTAGATAATAGAAAGGAACTTATTTAGACTTAGGAGTCTTTAAGTGTATTTTAGTATGATAAATATACAC